CCCCAAAACCCCAAAACCCCAAAACCCCAAAACCCCAAAACCCCAAAACCCCGATTGCTAATATTTGTTACTTTTAGAATATATCGAAATAAAATAAAAGGTAATAATTAAAATAAATTTGAAGGCAATTAGAACTTAACGTAGCATAAAATGTTAACTTACGAAACTTAGCGCATTCTCAAGAACCTGCTTGTAGAAATAGGACATGGAGAGTAGAAAATAGAGTAGATTAGACAGAAACTGGCAACTTTTACTGACTTTGAGCCTTATGTGGCTTTCTAGAGAATAGATAGGAATAGAAATGACTACATCATTGCCGAAGAGATTTAAGATTTTCTCAAAGATAACAAAATCTACAGCCCTACACCTGAGGAATGCTAGTTTATTGTTAAATTCTTTGACTCAGATGAAGACTCCAGACTTTCTTTCTCAGAGTAAATTCATAATATTCTAATGATTCTAATTCTAATTTAGCTTTTTACAAATGTTGGTACCTTGTGACAATAATTTCCTCAGATGCTAAGTTACGCAAAGAGATACTTACAAAGTAGAAAAATTCCACTATTTACCTATACATCTAGAACAAGAACTGTCAAACCTTGTTTATACGTATGCAACATACTTTGTCATATAATGAACCATTTAGTGAAATAGAATTGTATAGAAGATGCGAGGAGTTGAGAGTAGATCTGGCTAGGAGACATGATTTTTCAACTTATGCATGTTTTAGAGCTGTTGATGATCGCAATGAAGGTGATATTAATCCTGATAACATAAGGTCATTTATCAAGAATAATGGCTACTATCCCTCAGAAGATGAAGTGATTGCAATAGTTAGAAGATTGGATGTTGACGCAGACTGTAAGATAAACTATGCTGAGTTTTGCGAAGCCATAAAAACTAATGAGTTTCCTAAACCTCAGTCAAGTCACAGACCACAAAACTCAATTGATCAGAGACTAAATACTAGCTAGAATGCTAATGACAGATCGTTTGGTTCACCTTTAGTTCAAAACCCCAATCACTTAAGCTCAAAAGCATAAGAGGAATAACTCAGATAGACTACCAATAATCAAAACAACGGCAGTAACAGTCATAGAGGAGGAAATGAAAGATTAGAGTCAAGTCAATAAAACAATTAGCCCAAGCATGAAGAAAGCAAATATGGGAATGGATATGAATATTAGAATAGAGACCCAGGTAGTTCAGCTAAAATTGGAGATCACTTATCTCAATTCCAATATCATTCACCCCCTAAAAATAACAATGAGTCTTCTTATAAAAAGAGTTCGCCTTTAAGACCTGCTGATGAGTAGGAGCTATTGAAAGCATTTAAACAATAGCTAATCATTGACAGAGAACTCGAACATGCTAAATTAGATCTTATGAACACTTGCCCAGACTTCAACTTGTATGACGCATTTAGATATATAGATCTAGATGCTAGAAGCTTTATTGATGCTTATGACATCCTCAAGGCTTTCAGAGACTAGAACAACCTTGATTTACCTCAGGTAACAGATGATGAAGTAGAGTTGATTATTGCTAGATATGACAAAGATAGGGATAGGAAAATAAGATTCTCAGAATTTACATCTGCTTTTTCCCCCACTGATGCATACCAAGCAGATAGATTATCTTCAAGAAAAGGTACAGGACTTGGCTTATCTGATAAGACATTCTTGATGTATAGAGGTTTATGGTTAAATCATATCAAAGTGGAATAGTAGGCAGAGATGATTAGACAAAAGTTGATCAGTAGACCTGGCTTCTCTCTTTTCGATGCATTCAAAGCAGTTGATGAAAATAATGATGGAAAGATTACTAAGGATGAATTGCATAGAGTCATTGAGAAAAGTGGTTTCAATGTTACAATTGATGAAATTAACACTTTAATGGACAGATACGATAAAGATGGAGACGGAGCCATTAGCTATACAGAATTTTCAGATGAAATTAGACCACACTCACCTTATAAAAGATCTTGAAAATTTAATTTTTATTTAAGTGATAACATTTGAATTTTATCTTATGGGGTTTTGGGGTTTTGGGGTTTTGGGGTTTTGGGG